GAAGACATACGTGAGAGTGGAGGTACGGCTACATCATTCTTGACTTCGGCACTAGATGGAGGTGTGTGGTCAGCTTCACGCCCCGGCCGCTTTACAAGAAGGAAATCGCTCCCGGTATCGGCTGGATGGGCCCCAGTGCCCGTCTGTACACTACGGAGAAGGAAAATCTTGCCCTTACCGGGAATCGAACTCTGGCCGTCCAGCCCGTAGCTATTTTTTTTCCTGTGGCGCTATAGCCCCAGTTTGGGCCTAGGCCTACCTCCATGAAATTCTCCGTTTCACTTCGGTTTACTAGATCTTACACATACGGTAGGACTCATTGGGCGAGTGATCAGCTCTACCTGTAGACAAACACAGAAAAAAGCACACAAACATCCATGCCCTGAGTGGGATTCGAACCCACGATCCCGGCTTCCGAGCGAGCGAAGACAGTGCATGCCTTAGACCGCTCGGCTACCGTGACCGGCAGCCCGTAGCTATACAGACTCCTAATTCAAAATAACGACGTTCTTTAAATGAGAATAAACCCTCATTCACTAATATCACGGTTCCCAAATGTTATAGGAACAGCAAGAAAAGAATTAGCAAACCTGCCGTGGCTAAAAATGTACTATAGGAAGCTGTGAAGCGGTGGAAATCTGTGTTCGGATTTACAAATCTGCATGCCATAATTAGTTAAAAAAACACACTTTCATGTTAAAACAGCACTTGTGCTGGCTCAGCCGATCAAGAAGGTGCACCCCTTAACAAAAGAGCGCTAGTAAGAGCCAGGGAATGCTCCACTTCAGAGCCACGCGGCATTACTCTGACTGTAAATGCTAATATCATTTAAGCACAGATCTGTAAACAGAGTCTGAACAGTTAATGCAAGAAGACTGCAAACTTTCCTTCTACAAATGTCTGGACGCCACTCAACGTCGTCACAAATGGTCGAAACACGTGACAGTATTATGTTCATGTGCTGATTAACAGGTAGGTTGCATTAGATAGTACCTCTGAATTCAATGTGAACAGTATATTAATAATAATGATCTCTATTAAATTGTAGAATTTCTTTCATTTCTGTCTCATTTGCTACAACTGTTAAAATTATAGAGCATTTCTGTTATAAGTACACAAACGCAAATGTCATGTTACGTGTGTGGTGACAAGAACAATAGGTTCTGGGAAGAACTAAACGCCTACTTTCCTTATACACGGATTTCACTGAAAACGAAAAAAAAGGGGGGTGGAACAATAATGGGCCGTTCCCTAGCAACAACACAGACAGCAAGGTGATTTCATAAGCATTAAACGCCTAAAACTTACGGACATACACAGTTACAGACGCATACACATACAGACGGCAAGATCTCATAAGACTCCTTTTATTTGAAAAATGCCATCTTCTGGGTAGAAAAATCCGTGAGCGAAGAACCAGCGTGAGAAGTTGGTAACAGGTTGGTTAGTTAGTTAGTTAGTTAGTTAGTTAGTTAGTTAGTTATTGGAGAGGGTGGGTTTCCCCATGCACTTAGACCTGTAGTGGTCCATTGTGCTTCCCTCTATGATTTCTACCAGTCTCTATATCCTACCGGTATTGGTGCTTAGCATCAGTCCCGCCCAGCCAGCGAGACCGGCTCTACTAGCTGAGAGGTATCTATAATGCTTCCCCCATTTACCAGAGGTATTAGTGACTGCTGTTGGGCGGGAAACGTCCGCAATTTGCGCTCAGTGACCTCTTTTGGAGGTATGAGGTTCTTTTACGTTCGTAAAGCTACGATACGGGATTGGTAACAGGCTAGCAGACTGAGCTAGCCTCCGAAACGTCAGTTCACACATCCCAGTAGACGGCATCCTTCATAGTAACCGCTGTGAAAACTTTAAATCCTTTCATTTTTTCGAACTAGGGAAAGCAAGCTAAACAAGAAGTTCTGGGAACAACTAATTGCTTGCTTCCCTTTGATACATGGGCCGCACAGAAGACCAAAAAATTAGGGGAAGTACACAGGCAGCAAGGTGATCTCATAAGAATCCTACATTTTTTTTTCAAAATAAGGAAGTTAGGCCAACACACTCTATATGAGATTAGGCAACATCGTTATATGATATTAGGCATACAGCAGTAACATAAGTTCAAAGTCATCAAGAGAGACCTGTCTGAGACCATAATGCCCTTCAATCACTTGTAATTCAGAGAGGGGAAGGTACAGGCTTTGAACTGCTACTTAGGGAGGCGAGGGGGTGGAAGATTGTTCTGAACCACGCCATCCTTGGCGCCTTGGTGGCGCCGCAACACAAGGGACGAATTGGCGACACCCTTATTAAATATGATTATTTTTTCACATCGACCAATTAGTGCACCCTGACTTCTATAACGGCAGCAGCTCCAGCAATCACATCACATCTCTTACACCTTTCAGCTCCTGCCCATTTTCACATGCAAATCCGTGTACGAGGATTTCGCTTCATTTTTTGATTCCGGTACAGAAACAGCCTCAACGCTATATGTAGTATCCAGACTATACAGCAGTGATGACAGAAAGATTAATCAATGTGATATAGTAAGTGGAAAGAAAATTGGCATGGAAAACAGAAATTCCAAACTTAACTTTATATAATTTGGCCCCTCCGCTTAGAAAACATTTCATTGCCCCCCCTTCAAAATTCTGTGTGTGCGTGTGTAAAGAACAGATGTTTTTAATTTTTATAAACCATACATTTTTTATTTTCATCAATGAATAATGTTAATCGAGATTTCATGTACAAATTCACAGAATTAATCAGTCAGTGTATGATATTTTGAGAACTGTAAGCAATTTCCCCCCGTCCCCCCAAAACCAATTAGTCTCACATTTTGGAAATTACTCCCCTAAGGCGATATGAAAATCAGTCTTAAACGAAAGACAATTTTTTGGTCCCCTGCCCTCCACGTTGAAAAATAAGATCGTGGTACCGCCCATACATGCAGGCTGTCACGGGTTCGATTCCCAATGACGTCATTGGATGTTTCCATTGAACTAATCCTTCCAGCAGCACAATCGCCCTGGGGTCGAGTCAGCCTCTAACAGAAAGGAGTACCAGTCATCTTCCTGGGGGTAAAGGGTGGCTGGCACGTAAGACTGAACCTCACCGCCATTTACGTGCAGATTGTCTAGAAAATGTGGGAGCCTCGACGTCTCATAGCCCTCTGGACCTCCAAGGTCTGTTACAGCGATAGTTTTATGTTGCCTTAATTTAAACAGTTATACTACTTAAGCGAACTACTACATGTCCTTTCAGCTCACCTCAGAGAATGATACATCATACACGGCATGTGTCATATCATTAACAAATGTCTACAAGACTTTACTTCATATTTAGGATCGCAATTTGTAGGCCTTAAATGAGATTTAAGACTAACATACATAAAACTATTAAGACTATCGTGATGAGACGCCATGTTTACTTTCCGATGCTGATACTAGCTCAGGCTACACGGTGCCAACCGGGATGATGAATTGGAAATGATTTGGAAGTAACAGTGCAACCATACGGAACACACAAATACACTGTGTGGGCAGAATGAAGAGTTCAGTTCGTACCTCACAGGAAACACACTACATTTCCGCTACAAAGCCCAACCGGTTAATGCTGTTTAGGGAAATAATGGCTGTTTATTGTGAGAACCATACGGAACACACAAATACACTGTGTGGGGGGAATGCAGAGTTCAGTTCATACCTCACAGGAAACACATTACGTCTCCGCTACAAAGTCCAACCGGTTAATGCTGTTTAGGGAAATAATGGCTGTTTATTGTGAGAACCATACGGAACACATAAATACACTGTGTGGGGGGAATGCAGAGTTCAGTTCATACCTCACAGGAAACACATTACGTCTCCGCTACAAAGTCCAACCGGTTAATGCTGTTTAGGGAAATAATGGCTGTTTATTGTGAGAACCATACGGAACACATAAATACACTGTGTGGGGGGAATGCAGAGTTCAGTTCATACCTCACAGGAAACACATTACGTCTCCGCTACAAAGTCCAACCGGTTAATGCTGTTTAGGGAAATAATGGCTGTTTATTGTGAGAACCATACGGAACACATAAATGCACACCGTGTGGGCAAAATGGAATTCCCGTCCCTGAAGGAGGAGTTAAATTACGCAAATTAGTATTCCTGCAGAGATAAAAAAAGTTAAGGTAAAGTTGTCCTTGTANCCTAGGCCCACTGGGGCTGTAGTGCCAAGGGAAAAAAAAGTTGTCCTTGTGCTTAGCTAATTAAGCACTATGCCATGAAGACGTATGGGGGAGTGGATGTATAGACCGTTTTCTTGTCCTCGGCACTAGTTGGAGGTGAGTGGTCAGCTTCATGCCCAGGGGAAAGAACCCTCGGTACCCGCTGGATAGGAGGCTCAGTGGGCCCCAGAGCTGGTCTGGACGACATGGAAAAGTGAAAATTCTTGTCCAATCCGGGACTCGAATGCCGATCCCTTGGTCGTCCAACACGTAATCAGTCGTCTATACCGATTGCCCTTTCCTGACTATTCCTGCAAAGGTCGATTTCTTAAACGAGAGACCAATGTTATGAAATGTTTCATCAAAATGGTCGTAGCCCTGTAGTACATGACGTAGTACTCCAAACGCCGATCTTTCCTTTAAAAAGAGTCATTCAACTTGTGCAGAAGCTGCCAACTTTACGCAACGGTTCCCTCGCGTAACATCTAGCGTTAACTCGAATTTTGCGATACTGTGACATACGTACGTGTGTGGGCATGCGCCTCCTTCGTAGGAAAAATATTTATGCTCTCTAGGAAATGACAAGAAAATACGATAAAAAATAAAGCACGGAAAAATCAGTGTAAGCACAGAAAATTAACTTTTACAACAGAATTTCATTCCATCTGTGTTTCCTCACGTAACGCAAAACTGTACGTTTGTTTCAAAAATTACATTGGTGACTTATGGAACAATTTGCGAAACCCAGGAGCGTCGTAGCTGCTTGCTGTGCTGATGTTCCAGTGCCACTTACCTGAGCGGTTTAAAGTAGTTGCACAGGTAATCATATCTCTCGTCAGGAACGGGGACGCGACGTGCCTGCAACAAGACATCCGGGGTCAAAACATTCACTGCATGCGTCTGGCATAAGGAGCCCAACACCCACCTTCAGTGAGCAGGGCTGATCTAGACAAGCCGCCAGACACGCATTGCCTTTCTGGAACCCAACGGTTGATTACCATGTTCACAACAGTCAGCAACCGGATCCTACCCTGAGCCAGATTAATCCAGTTCACAAAGTTTTAACTAACTTCATGAAGCTGAGCCCTTCTAGAGAAACCGCCAGCTGTGCAGCTACTCAAGAACTTCCCAGCAATTCATGGAACCCGAAGGTTCCTTATCGTGTTCATAAGAACCCTCCTCTAGTCCGTATATCATGAGACAGATCAATTCATTCCAGACCATCCCATCCTACGTCCCTAAAATACATTTTAATATTATCCACACACCCACGTCTTGGTCTTCCTGGTGGTCTCTTTCCTCCTGGCTTTCCCACCAATATCCAATACACATTCATCTTCGCCCCAATTCGTGCTACATACCCTACCCATCTTATCCTCGTTAACTTGATCATTCTAATTATACTCTGCGAAGGGTACAAGTTATGAAGTTCCTCATTATGCAGGTTGTCCACAAACTCAAACCCTATTATTTAATTTTGAATTGTTTCATTTTGGTCCGTTACACTATCAATCAATCAATATGTAATAGTTTCCACAAATAACTACATACTGTGGATGTTGAGCTGTGCCAGTGTTTTCATGATTTGTTGTAAGTGCCTCTGAAGATGGTTCCTTGGAACCGAAACATGTAAGGCAGATTAGATAAATAAGTGACCAAATATATCTTGTTGCACTTGACGGAAATTCTATTGACAATTGGCCTATTATTTAATATTAATTTCCTATGTATATATCTTTATATCACTCATGCTCACCCAAACTACGAAGTTCTTCAGAATTACGGGGTTCCTACCCCCTCACCTGAGGACGAAAACAGATCCCGTTTCCGGAACATTGTGTTTTCTAGTTCATAGAATATAGGACGCTGGGAAAAAGTCCAAAAACCCAGTAATTCTGAGTGTTACATACAATCGCCAGAACCTTTCAGAATCTACGAAGTTCCTCATTATGTAATTTTCTTCATTTTCCTGTTTCGTCTCTTTTAGATCCAAATATACTGCTTCTGCTCTCAGACTTCAGGGCCCCGTCACATTTCGTAACCTTTTCAGACCCTGAATCCTGAATCGTGCAGCTTCGAGTTCTTAACACGAAAATGAAGAATAAAAATAGTGGAAAGAAGATACAAGAGAAAAAGAGATGAAGAAGGCTACGTAGGAAGAGAAGCAGATCACAAACGAGGTGATGCAATGCGAACTGTATGTGACAGTCTCCACAGACATAACCTAAGCGGAGGGTCTATGTCGCGGACACACTTCTCACTGACAGCTGCCACAAGGTCTGTCTCCTCATTAGGCCAATGGGCACACCACTAACAAGGCCATACAATTCAAATTATGGGCATAGCCGGGGGAAAAATAAAAGGTACGCGTAAAGTTATCCCTGTAAGAGGCTGTTGAGGTCCCACAGGGTTGTGAGACGTCGAGGCTCCCATATCTTCTAGACAATCGGCACACAGATGGTGGTGCGGTTGTCAGCCTCACACGCCAGTCGCCCTTTACCCCCCAGGAAGATTCCTGGTACTCATTTCTGTTAGAGGCTGAGTCAACCCCAGGGTCATAGTGCAGCTGGAAGGAATACTGAAAAATTCAATGACCTAATCGGGAATCGAACCCGAGACCTTCTGGCTTGTAGCATAGTGCCTTAACCAAGTACGCTACGGCGTGAGCCATATATATGGATATAAAATATTTCGATGATATTTTCCTACAATAAACAAACATGAAATTCACATGCGGTGATGATACACAAATTTGCGAGAAGTCAAAATACTCGTACAGTAGAGCTGAATGAATGCTCAGTATTAAGGCTTCGCTGTTGACTGTTAGTACTACATGAAAATTGTTTTTTTTTTTTAAACGAAATAAGCTTCAAAGTCATGTTGTAAGGGCGCGGTACACTCAAATGTGATTTTAATGCAGCCTACGCTCTTTTTTGTTAGTTGCGATTTTGTTGAGGAGTCCATGAACATGCAAATTGAGAAATATACTCGCAGCACAGGAAACTGCATGACTTAGGAACAGCAGCAGTGGACGTAAAATGAGGGCACCATTCTTGTCTACAGTGTCACTCTCTCCGATAAATGTTTGGTGAGATTTGTCCAAACGTGCAGGTCTCTGTTAGTCGCCTTAGAGATGACAACTGAAATGGCTTGACAATTTTTGGTAAAATTATCCAATACCAAATTTCACGAAAATCCGTTTGACTTGTGGCGAGTTGTGCCATGCGCAATGACCAACGGGCGGATGAAGTGCGCTCATCAAGGGGTGCACAGCATTCTAGCCGCGCTTACAAATGTAACTGCCGCGAACAACACCTAAAGATATTATGAAAGTTACTCCGTATTCTTACCAATATGTACGGTAGCCACAGCTGTTAATGCGATGTGAAGGTATTGCGGTAGAATTTTTTATATGATTCGAATCCTCATTCGCAGTGTTCGAACTTTCTCATACAAGTATACGTAGTATGAGAAAGTGCAGTGAACATGAATCAAATTAAGCTGGATGGTTTGACGGATTTACGTTTTCTGGGCATCTAAGAAGAAAAGGTGTTTTGTGGACTTCCACGTCTGCCACTCTGTATGTATGTATGTATGTATGTGAGCCTCGCTAGCGCCCGAATGGTTGGACGAATTTTATTCATATTCGATATTAAAGAGTTTGTCCGTTACAAGTAGGAGCCTAGTGACTACGGACATTCTAAGTTCAGAAATAAGGCCGCGCCATACCTCAAGCGGTTAGTCGCTGGCTTCCCACCGCGGCGGCCCGGGTTCGATCCCGGGTCTGGTCAAGCGGGATTTGTGGTGGACAAAGTGGCGCTGGGGCAGGTTTTCTCCGAGTGTTTCGGTTCCCCTTGCCAATCTTCATTCCGCCAACTGCTCCACGATCACCCTCACCTATCATCTGGGGCTGGTATAATAGGCCAGAAGTGGCCGCAGTACAAGGGACTTAGTCCCACCCCAACTAGCAATAAAAAATGTTCAGAAATAAGGGCTCTTTACACAGATTTTACACAGGGTTTTCTCGTCAACAGCTATAACCAGCTTGATTAAATTTCAGCAATTTAAGGAGAATACTTCCCTATTAAGACTGTACGGGGGGATACCTTCAGGCAAATAATGGTATGCGCTCAAGCGGTCCAAACGAGAAAAATGTCGATTTTATAGAGAGAGGCTTGACCTATACTGATTTAAATTTTTATTATCTACAGACGCAATAGGCCCGGAAAATACTATGGGTGAGTCAAAACATTGCATAACGGATTACTTTCCGATAGCAGAAGGCTGTGATTCGTCTGTCGTATATGAGGAAGGGTCTGCAACTTCAACGTCTCAATTTGACTGTTATTCCCTCTCTGAAGTTATATATTGTGAATCTGTCCCAGGTGAAGAAAGAGAATTTCTGCCTTCTATGGAAAACATGGAACAAGTGTCGCAATAGGTGTTTTATATGTGGTTCGCATATATCCACTGCTGGGCAAAGGATGTGTTTTCTGTGCTGTGGTCCGACCCAAGACTATATAAGCATGGAAAAACGTGCAACTGTCTGACAGTAATACGTTGTGCGTTCAAGTTCTAAGGTCTCAGATTTTTTTCTCACACAATAATCGTACAAAAAATTTGAAACTTCTGTCACTTTTCAACGTAATCTCCCTGCAGCCGTACACATTTTTCACAACGTCGACGCCATGATTCCATGGCCGCTGCGAACGCTTCTGTAGGAGTCTGTTTTGACCACTGGAAAATCGCTGATGCAATAGCGGCACGGAGAGTTTCTTTCATCTTTGGGAAAAGTAAAAAATCGCTAGGAGCCAGGTCAGGTGAGTAGGGAGCATGAGAAACCACTTCAAGGTTGTTTTCACGAAGAAACTGCTGCGTCGCGTACGCCCGATGCGCTCGTGCATTGTCCTGGTGAAAGAGCACACGTGCAGCCTTTTCCGACCGCTTTCTCGCAATGCTGGAAGGAGTTTGTTCTCCAAAACATCTTGGTAGGATGCACCTGTCACTGTAGTGCCCTTTGGAACGCAATGAGTAAGGACTACGCCATCGCTGTCCCAAAACATGGCCACCATAATTTTTTCCGTACTGGCGCTTACCTGAAAATTTTGGTGGCGGTGAGTCTGTGTGCTTCCATTGAGCTGACTGGCGCTTCGTTTCAGGATTGAAAAATGGCATCCATGTCTCATCCACTGTCACAATTGATGAAAAGAATGTCCCATTCATGCCTTGTCAACATCGCCTGGCAAAATTGCCATGCGCGCAGCCTTGTGGTCGTCCGCCAGGATTCGTGGTACCCACCTGGAGGGCACTTTCCGCATTCGCAGGTTTTCATGCAGGATTGTGTGCACAGATCCCACGGAAATGCTAACTTTGGAGGCGATGTTTTCCACACTCAATCGGCGATCTTCCAAAACAACTTTCTGAACTCGCTCGACCATGTTGTCAGACCGGCTGGTGCGAGGCCGAGATTGTTTTGGTTCGTTGTCACACGACGTTCGGCCTTCTTTGAACTGTCGCACCCACGAACGCACATTTTTCACATTCATGACACCATCACCACACGTCTCACTCAACTGGCGATGAATTTCAATGGGTGTCGCACCACGCAAGTGGAGAAAACGCATGATTACTTGCTGTTCTTGTAACGAAAACGTCGCCATTTTAGGTATCAAAAACACTCCTCACTCTCGCCCACACCACTAGAAATCTGTATGCCGTACAGTGCTGCCATCTCTGTCACACATTCGCAAAGAGTGCCCATGTATTTTAAACTAAACCGCATGTGTCTATCTGCTCCCAGTCCTGAGAAAAAAAATTGGAAACCTTAGAACTTGAACGCCCCTCGTAAGGATCT